ACAGGTCATTGTAAGGGTTTAAATTAAGCTTGCCGTTTGAATCTGTAACAAATTGATTAATTCTACTTCATATTTTCCCAGGATATAAACTTTGGAGAAAGGTTCAGTAGAGACTTCGTTGATTCCATAGAAGATACAAGTACAGTGAGTGGACTTATGAATCTACACAACAATGAAGCTGGTAGAAGGGTTAGTAAAATTGATAACTATTATAGATATAAATTGCAGATTATAATTATGTTTTGCTATAAAACACACATACAGCAATTTTTTCTAAAGTATGTCAAAATGTTCAAAAACCTCTGAAACGTGAAGATATGCAAAAATTTCATTTTCGATTTTTGGCCCACATTACTATAACTTACTTACGGGAAGTTAAAAATGATTTGGTAGAGTAGTGCCTAGATTTTGTCAGGATGATTTTTTACCAGGCCGTTTTGAGTAGTTTTAATCTCAATTTATTAACTAATTCTTATTTATTATTACAATTAATTTATATGTTTTTGGTCATCAGGCTGTCCGTTCACGAATGTCGCGCGCCTGCAAATGCCATGGTGTATCCGGATCCTGTTCCGTCAGAGTATGCTGGCGACGTTTGCCTCCACTGAGAGAAGTTGGGTCGAATTTGGGCCTGCGATATGATGGAGCCAGTCATGTTAAATTGGCCATTGGTAACGGTAGAAAACGGAAAAGAAAATTGAAACCCATAAAATTGGACATGAAGAAACCGTCTAAAACTGATCTGGTATATCTAGAAGATTCGCCTGATTATTGCGAGCGAAACGAGAGGTTGGTAAATTGATCCTAAATCATAATATCGCTAAATTATATATTTCACTCTTCATATTGCTGGGGCAAACATAGGCAACCTAATGAAATATTGTCTTAATAACAATTTTAATATATAGTTGAAGAGACTTCACTTTGATATATGGTTGTCCTAGTGTAGATAGGATTTTGACCTCTTAAGGGATTTTATGTTTCCAGTTTATCTGTTCTTGGAACTCATGGTCGAACTTGTGACCAGGCTTCTCAAGGACTAGATGGATGCAGGCTACTGTGTTGCGGACGTGGTTATCAAACCAGGCTCCGGTTGGTAACTGAAAAATGCCAATGCCAGTTTGTCTGGTGCTGTGATGTCATCTGTCAGCAATGTTCAAAAACAGTAGAAGAACATGTTTGCAATTAAACAGTCAATTTTAAAGGGTCTATTATCAGTACACTTTTCATATTATTTAATGAGCTTCAAGAACTTATATCTTTATTAGAATCACAATCCGATTTTAATTGGTGTACTCTATTTGAAGTTCAAAAATTATACCATGAATAGTTTATACTATAATCTCGATTATTATTAAAGCATGCACTTTCAATAACGCATAGGTCTACAAATAAATAAATTTGTTTAATATGCAGTTGCTTTAATTATCTGAAATAGACTCATAAGGTTAGTTACTATTTAATTGTCTATCTATTCTATTTTATTCTAGATTGATAAGTATTTATTGTGCGTACTTTGTTATAAAAGATTTTTTGCGAGGTTGTGTGAATGTGATTTCTATATGTGGAGTTAAACTAGTAGCTTAAATATATTATAAATGATTTTGCATTTAGTATTTTATTCTTTATTTAAGTAATAATTTTATTTTTATTATTTGTGCAAATAATTCGAATTTGATGTCAACACATTTAATTAAATGTATGATAGTATTTATAGAGATGTGGATGTGTAATTTTATAATTTTTCATGTGATTATTACTATTTTAGTAAAATTCAATGAGCTTACCAATATGCATTTATTTCTCATAAGTTATAGCTGACAAGATTTTTTTAACAATCAGCATAAGATGTTAAAAAACTTGCAGCAAATCCTAAATCTATTCTAATAAATTATATTCTTTATTATATGTATCACGTTGCAGTTGGAGTAATGTATGTAAAATAACACAAATGATAAACTGATCTCATTTTTAACTAAATCATGGAAAAAGTGTTTGATCTGGTTTTGCAAAATCACAATTAAGTGGTTTTGTTAGTTTCACATTGTAAGCTATTCCAGTGTTGATACCAAATAAGTTTATTTATTTTTTCATATCATTTCTGTGGTACTGCAAATATTGGTAAATGTTTTTCATTTATGGTCTGAATTACTTAATAATAGTTTTCTAAGTAGTTAATTATATACATATATGCCAGTATGCCAAATTTCTTGTGTCTAATATTAGAAAGAAAAAGCAATGTGAAAGTATTACTTCTATGTATTGAATATTTGTATTATAAATATAGTGTTTATATTGAAATTAATAATCTATCTAGTGTAGTGTATCTAGAAAAAGGTTTCCGATATTATGTTATAAGTATCTAAATAAAATGAATTTAATAAATAAGTCAATGCATGTTTTGTATTATGTAATAAATGCTTTGATTTTTATATAAGCAAATCGATCCTTTTTCGCGATAAAGTTATATATTCTTTGTACTCCTTATATTTATAAAATCAATTTTGTATAAACTATATTTAAATACTATAAATGAACAATAAATAATGCTAATAAAGTTGAACTTTCTCATTTATAATAAAACTTATGGATATAAAATCTATTTGTGTAATATTATTAAGTGGTTCTTAAGTGTTCGTAATGTCAAGTTTGATTTTGAAAAAATAATTTAATTATAAAAGGCAATGCTATTTTTTTTGAATTTGGCGGTAGTATTCAAAATTAATTATAACCAACTTCAAAGATAACTTTGACATGTTTGCTAATCCATCGGATTTCTATGCAAGCTGTCAGTCTATAATGTCAAATTGTTTACATTTATGACAGAGGCTGCATTTGTAAATATAAAATATTATAGTTGATATGGTACGATTTTCAATTGATTGTCGAATCGATATCGTTGAATTTTACATAAAGACATGTTCTATCAAAGAAACCAAACAAATGTTTGTAGATAAATATTCTAATATCAAACCACCATCTACCAGTACAATTCAGGATTTATACAAAAAATGGAGATCCACTGGATCGGTCGCAAATGTAATTAAAACTCCTAAACGTCCCACAGTTAAAACTCCGTCTGTTGTTGAAAAAATTCGCAACGATATGATGGACTGCCCTGAAACATCTATTAGAAAGCTTTCGCAACAAGTAGGTGTATCTAGAACAACTTGTCATCGAGTATTAAAAGAATTGCATTTACGACCTCTCCATGTGCCAGCAAAATCTGCCACTGAAAACACTAAAGCAAATAACCATGATTTATCAGAAGAATTATCGATGCATGATATTATATTACAAACGTCTATGGGTAGTTGAATTAAATTGGAATTGATGTTTTGCATATATGCATAATAATGGTAATATGCGTAATAATGATTATGATTTCAATTGTCTAGAGTAAGAGCATTCTTATTTATTTAATTTATCACATATTCCTTTCTATATTTGTGAAATATGCGATGTCTTCTTCTTCATTTTTAGTCGTTTTTAGATAATAGTGAATAAGATGATGGGCTTCATATGTACTTACAAACGGAAACATCTATAGTTCAACATATTTTTAAATGACATATAATGAGTGTCTACTCTAGAAAGATTTTTAGTTTCCTAGGTAAAAAGTGAGTTCTCTCAATTTTAAACTAATTAAAAAAATGACTATTTTTGTTTGTTTTTGAAATACTTGTTCATCTATGAAGAAAACATTCCACATCCTCTAAATTTAGAATGAAATATATGACAAATTATTTGATTTATGAAGTAAGCATGAACCTTTATTAATAATTAAAAAAATGACAAAAATATATCAAACAGTTTTTGTTTGTTTTTAATAGTTTTTGAGATACTTATTTATCTATGAAGGAGACACTTCACATCTTCTAAATTTAGAATGAAATAATTGACAAATTAATTGGGTTTTGGAGAAAATATGAGCCTTTATATTAGGAAAATTAAAATTATTTATATGGAGTTGTATATTCTTCTCTGGATGACAATATTTTATTATAATAAGTTGTTATATTTTTTTAATTTATTTGGTATTTTATTATATGATGACTCTATTATGCTTATTTAAAATTAACTTTATCATATCTATATTTTTTTTATACTAACATTAGATTTAAATTTGCAATGTGGACATGATTAAGTATATAATAAATACATTTCATTATGATATATATGATCATAAATATATAAAAAAAGAATGATTATATCAGAATTTTATTATGTTACAAATCAATTCAATTTAAACATGGTAATATCAGAAAGACGGAAGCTTTATGCTTTCATATCTTTTTCAGGTCAATTAGTTCTATTACAATTGATACTTTATATATTAATGTCATTATTATTTTACTATATTGTTTAATATTGAAAAATGATTATTTCAGTAATAATAAATAAATAAATAAATATTTTTGAATAATTATATAAATACTCACAATCGTTGCGAACACGTAATTTATTCAATATAATATATTTATCATAATGGTTATTTGAGGTTTAATAAATATTACTTTAAAAAACTGGAATTGAATTTGGCGCAAAAACTAAAAACTTCTCCAGGTTGGCAACCTTAGGTTTAGTTTAAAGACTGTCAATCGAAACAAACTGTGAACTTGATTTTAATTTATAATAACAAAATGCACACTGAATAATAATTATTAATTAAACATATAAGTAATTAATGGTAAAATGTAACGTTTATAAACGAAATTTTCGATGTGATAAAATAGTGGTCTCTAGTTGTCAAGTTACTCTGTGGATTAAAGCGATGAAGAATCTTCAGTTCACGAAGCACATGAAGTTCTCCATTATCTATGTTTTGTGTTATGAGTGTGTGTATTTGTTAGGCCTGTGCAAAAAGAAAATGTATTTTAAATTGTTTGCAGTGATTTAGAGCTAGTGAAAAATATTGTGAAAGACCATACTGTGATCAATTTTTTTTAATGTTTGTTATGCTATACGGACATGCAAAGAATATTTTTCCATAGCCACCATTAATTCTCTGCAGAGTGTCGTCATTATCAATTACTACCATGGGCCGTAAATGTAATGTGAATTTGTGCGAGTCGTCTAGCAATAGAATCGAAGATCAAGGCGTGACATATCACAAGTTGCCTGTAAATGAACATTTCAAACTAATATGGCTAGCCCAATGTCACATGCCATTAGACGCAAGAAATCGCACGGTGTATGTGTGCTCCCGCCATTTTCGTCGGGTCGACTTTCAGGCATTCAAAGGCACGAAATATATGTTAAAAACAGGTGCCATACCTTCAATGTTTGCCTGGGGGCGCACTTCAGACGAAGAGCTGGAAAAAATGTGTTTAGAGTCTTCAGGTATGAAAAATCACAATGACAATGCGACCAAAGGCGATGACAAAACAATTGAGCGTGCTAGCCTCACAAAAAATAAAGTAAAAAATGATAAGAGCAGTGTTTCCCAGAAGGAGAGTGATCAAACTGTTTCTAATAATAATATAACTGATACAGGTTTGTTGTTTACCTTGGCATTAGTTATTTTCAGTATTTATACTGCAATCAGTAAATTTGCATTACATTCTCAAAGCATAAAAAGTCTAAAATGAATTAATTCACAACGTTCGTTAAATCACATGAATTTTACTGAAATGTTTGTTGTACATTTATAACTAGTAACAATATATGTCATTAAATACATTTTATTAACTAGGAATATGTTCAATGATATATGAGCATTGAACTCCCAATGTCCATACTTTTATATTTCAGACTATAAATTTAACTAATTACTAAAATAAATATTCCTCTACACATACATTATATAAAACATATAATGAACAAACTGCAATGTATGCTCATAATCTGCGGTCTAAGAGGGTTAGATACTTTGACTTTTATTGTAGGACTTCAAAATGTTTTTCAATCAGTTAGTAATTAGATCAGAACTAACATTTATTATCATCAAAATTAGACACTAATTATTAATTAAATAGATCATATAACAACTGTTTATGTTCACTGTCTACATCAAGGATTTCGAGGCAGTTGAATATCATTAAACAATTTCAGTAAAATTTAATTTATTTCCGAAGTAGGCTTTGATAGAAATTTATATCAATAAGTTATTTAAAACTAGTTTCAAAAGTAAGTAAAAATAAACTAAATACATAAAATTCTATTGATACTTTTAATAAGAACATTACTCACATTATTGATTAGAATTTTAAATCTTTGTAAAACTTAACTACATACATACACTTTCGTTTTATGATAATAAATGTCATCTAACAATAAATTTGATATATCTATAATAATACATGAAAGTTAAATTTGATAATCATATTAACTAATACCAAATTTTAGTAAGTATATACATACACATTTTGTGATAATAAATGTCTTCTTATAAATTTAATAAATTTAATAAATAAATTTGATATATCTTCCTCATTAAAATAATAATATGATATGATAATACTAAATTTTAGTAACTACATACACATTCGTTTTATGATAATAAATATCATTTAACAATAAATTTTATAAATTTTCTTTATTAAAATAATAATACTGAAAGTTAAATTTGATAATCATATTAACTAATACTTAATTTTAGTAACCACATACATACACATTCCCATTTTATGATAATAAAATTCATCCAACAATAAATTTGATATATTCATTAAAATAATAATACATAAAAGTTAAATTTGACAATCATATTAACTAATACTAAATTTTAGGTATATTCTTCTCGATCTATTAACTATATATGAAATAATCTCTCTTCTCTTATATTAGCACAAAAGAGTTGGCTTTTATAATTAATTTATACCTAAATCTTATATTAATATGATGATGGTGTAAGATTTGATGCATATTACATGGATCCACTTCAAAACTATTTCAGATGCCCAAAATTAAAAAAAAAGATGATAAAAGTGTTTTAATACTAAGTTTTTATTCATGTCCCTGCAGCTTTTTGCAGAATTGGTTGAAACGATTTGATTAAATTGAAAATTATTTTATCATTAAGTTTTGATTGTGCCATACTTCACTAGTATATTTTATTAATAAAGCTTAAAGCTACATATTGTATTTTGTAATATTGTAAATTTAAAACTTCGAATTGGTCTAATTAATTCATTCTTGATTGAATATGTTGTTTATAGTTGCTATTGACCTTAATCATATTGTCATGCATCAATATTTATTTTGATATAATACAGGAATGTCTATTTAGATACTGAGAATAATTATTCAATGGTTTATCATTTTTTATTATCATTATTTTATTTAAAAAAACGGTTTTCTAGCGCGTCTATTACTATTGCACAAAATGGCTGCTTGACAGTTATTACTCCGTAGGTTATGTTTACGTCTTTGATATCAATCAATTTATTAATAAAAAATATTTTTAATTTTTTTTATATAGTAAATTTTGTAATTTATAAATAATTTACCCTTATGGCTGCTCATAAAAATATAAAATAATTATGAAAACTAATACAATAGAAATGTATTGTGAAAAGGTAGTTTGTTTGTTGTCATATAAATAATACATCCTTTTATAATTATCAATCTTGTTTATTCTTTTGTAATGGATAAAACTAGCTTATTTGAAATATAAAATTTATCATATAATCAGGTTATTGAAGGTGTAAATAACTTTTTCATCTTATCAAGCCAATCAATTAATGACATTTTAAATTGACAATGGTATGAAATATATATTACCAATTTAAATTAAAAGATTACTTCGAGCAAAACCTTGTCTCATTTAATTTCTCTAATATTCAAATAAATTTTAGATAAAGTTTTGACACTTGAATTAATTCATTGTAGTAAAATTACCTTTAAAATTGTTTTAGTGTCATCAAGAGAAAAGCCAAAGCGTTTATCTGCACAAAATTTGTTAAAAAGAGGATGGAGTAAAAAGCTGGAATCCAGTGAGATCCAAAAAAATACAAATAAACCCGTGGTAACTACTTTTTACTGATAATTTTGGGGAAGGGAAATGTTAATATTTCATAGATAATATCAAATTATTGCATACTTATCAATATACATTTTAGATCAATTAATTTGTGTATCAAAATCATTAAAATGTAATTTTAATGTAATACAGACCTGGGTTTTAATAATAGAAGTTAATGAATATAAAATAAATTTTGTGTCTTGTTTAGTATTGACATTAGTTTTCTTCACCTCAATATTTTCTATTTGAAATTAAATTTTAGAGCCTTCATTAAAATAAAATTAGACAATTATTATAATAAATATTTACAGAATAAAACGAATGAACTTAAGAAAAAGGATTCACCAGTAAAAGAAAAAACAGAGACAAATGGAACGATACATGATACTAAAGAAATTCAGTATGACTTGAAGTCTATGAATTTGGTGCCTGGTTCACGGGTTGAAGCTAAAAATTTCAATGACGAATGGACCACAGCACGTGTAGTTGAAGTTGATAATGATGAAAATGAAATATTGATACAATTTGAATCAAGCAAGTGAGTTTCTATTTTAATTATTATATATATATATAAATATAAATTATGTATGCATGTAATGTAAAATCTGCTTAGTATGACATTGAAGGCACTCCTAAAATAATCATAAGTGGGCGACATAGAAAGCATTCTGAAAAAGTAAATATATTTTCTGTAAACATGTATGTACAGTCTTTAAAGGAGGTGGCAGTCCTTAGCACATAGGAAAAAGATTAATCGGTCTTTGTTTTTCTTGAAAACCTTGGCTGATCTATAACTGGACATAATTTTTTTTAAAATGGGTCATTATAAGCGATATGTCAATGTAAAGGAAGTCATCTTACTGTCTTATGAGAAATTTTATATAAAAATCAAACATTGTAGTATTTATTATTGTTACTGTAAATATGTCTATGTAACTTTATTATTATTACTGTAAATATATTATTGGACCATGTGTCCATCACCACCATTTCTTAAATAGATTTTACTGAAACGATTCTCATTTAAAATTTAGTGAGAGCTTTTCCTTGTTTTTTTTTTATTCACAATGCTAGGTCTACTAATTCATAAAAATTGTAGAGACCTTGTGAGTTAAATGCAACAATTGATAATATATTCAATAATTCCTTCTTGTTACACAGTTTGTTATAATAACAATTAATAAATTAATTAAACAATTAATAAAGTTGATTACAATAATATGACCTTGTGTATGAGAGTGAAATACATAATGTCATATCAGTGTCTAAACAAAATTCTTAAAATTTGTCACCAGCATTATTTGCATTACAACAAAGCTGCAACTTTCATATATATATATATTTTTTTAAATAAGATGAGATAAAATAATGGTTATTCAGATAATTATTTATATTTAAAGATTTATTTGTTTGGAATTACACCTGAACTAATTAATTTGACTTTTGTTTATAATACTAATTTTATTGTCTTTTGTTTCACTTTTAGATCTGATGAATGGATTCCAATGAACAGTTCACGTTTGAGACCAATACAACTTGCAAAAGATAATTCATTAAATTCAAGTTCAAGAATGTATAAAGAAGGAGAGCGTTGCATGGCAAAATGGACAGATTCTAGGAAATTTCCAGCCACAGTTCGAAGAGTCTTGGAAAATGGTATATCATTCTTAATATCACTGTAGTTATTTATGTATGCACTAAAGTATAAATTTTACAAAAGAAAACAAAATTATTTTTTTGTTTGTAGATAGTTATGAAGTTTTATTTGATGATGGTTATATAAAAACACTTCCTGGTTCGTATTTGAGTCGTGTGAATAAGGTTAAGGGCAAGGTGTTAGATTCGGGTGGGACTTCAGTGCACAAAAGTAACTATTATGCTATTTTGTTTTAATTCTTTATATTATATATTTTATTTATTTCCGTATGTACATATTTATTTATATATTTATCCTATGTTTAACCTTTACTTTTTAGTACTTTATTTAAAATGTTTTTATTTTAAACTTTTTCAATACTCTTGTGGTACAATATTTGACTTCATATGTAACATACTGTTTTAAATTTATGTATCTAAGTACAAGTATACTTAAATTCTATTCAAATTGCTTGCATATTCTGTGAATATATGTAGACACCATTCTGAAATAAACAGTATATTATAAAATTTAAACAATTACTTCTAAATACTTTTTATTAACTTTCAAATTAAATTTTAATTACTTCTAGAACCAGTAAATAAATCCACAAATCACAAATCCCCTGAAGAGTGGTGTTGTCGGTGGGAGGGAGATCAACCTGTTGGAACTCCTGGTCATATTGATTCTGCAGATGGGGCCAAAAAACCTAGCACAATAGTTCATGATCCAAGGTTACCTGAAGGCTGGGTTAAACATATTGTGAAGAGAAATACTACTGGATACTCAGGAAAATGGGATGTAGTAATAGTCAAGTAAGTAGTAATTTTAAAAACGCAAAACATTTAATTTATTTAATACACATTGGAATTCTGCACAATATATAGATATTGGAATTTGGGAAATGAGTGAATTATTTACTTTCAGTTCAGCAACTAATAGAAAATTTCGTTCAAAGAAGGAAATTGACTCATTTCTTGCTGACAGTGGGAAACCGTACACTTCAGATAGTTTTGATTTTGGCTTGCATAGAAAACGTTCTAAAGAAATTGGATGGGATACAACACCAATAAAAAAAAAGAAAATATCACATCCTAATAGTAGCAATAATTCTAATGCTGACGGAAAAATATTGAACAACAAATGCTTGACCCCAAAAGCTGAAGTAAACATGTCTCAAGAAGAATGCAAAACTCCTGTAATGCAACCCAATGAACCTTTAGAAGATGGGTTTGGTAAGTGGATATTATTTAAATTCAGCATGATATCAGAGAAATCATTTTTTGTCGAACTTTTTAAACTGATACATCTTCAGATGTAACCTACCAACGTTAATATCCACTGATAATGACATTAAATGGAATGTCGAAACGTTTGGAATTAAAAATTAATTTATAAATCTTTGCTTTTTTTCTTTGATGTATTGTCCCACAAGAACTTACTCGTAAGTGTACTTTACTCTTTGTAAATGTACAAAATGCAAAAAATGCGAACCTAACATCCATAATTGCACAACCACTATTAATTATAGTTAAAATTTCAAACGCTAAAATAATTCTTGCATGGGTAAATTGTTACTACACAATTAATATTAATATGTAATTGAAATGACTAACTATAAAATAATTTACTATATTAAAAAAGCCAAAATATTTCTGGGCAAAGTAAAAAAAAAGATAAATATTTTCATATTTTTCATTTGCATTATTTTTAGAAAACCCTTATTTGCTCAAAGCTTGTATTTCGAATTTTGTTCGTACGTCGAAGCACAAATCGCTCCTTTTGCGGCTCGTATCGGGATACCACAGTATATATATATATATATATATATATATATATATATAAAATATAATTAACTTTGTATTATATGTTTGTCGTGAATTTTATATTTTATTAGTATTTTTGTGAATTAGCTCAAGATATAATTTTTCATTCCATCAATATTTTAATAGTAATTCAAGTATGCTAATTATATTTGAAGTCATAATGTCAAGTTATTTTTACATAATTAATAATTTTTATAATTAATGATTGCCATTTTGTTTTTTGCATAAGATGCAGGTTTATTAATGAGTTTAAAATGAATATGTATCTCAATACGAATAATATTTTTTGCTTTGTTAATAAATGTTTGCATAAAGATGAAGCAAATTATTTAATCTTTTGAAATATTGTTTATAATTATTGCTTTTTTTTCAATTATATTTTTATTATTTTACTTGAGAATTTATACATAACTCGCAGAATATCAACCTTCACAGTGTTTGTGGGTTCGCTGAAAGTCCAGATAATTGATAACTTATTCCGTTGCCCTGAACCAACCTGCGGTAAAAACTTTCGGAAGGAAAATTTACTTCAAATGCACATAAAACATTATCATCCGAATTTGCAACAGTATTTCGGTTCAACTCCAAATGTAGCCGATTTGGCATATGCCAGAACCATACGAGAGACTCCTGAAAATGAACCAGTTGCTAAAAATCGGTACTCAAATACACAATTTTATGAAAAAGTTTCTAAGATTGACAATATATATAAAAGAGGAAAAGCTTCTCCAATTGAAAATGAGATTTCCCATAAAGGATATAAAATTAGAAAAGGATGATGATGACTACAAGGATATAACACATGATACTAAAATTAATACTGACTTAGTGAAAAAAGAACAAGTAGATGAAGATCAGACAAATAACTCAGTTATCAAGAATGAAACCAGTATGTCCTGTAGTGAAAGTCCTTTATTAGAAGAAGCTCTCAGAGTTGACAATAAAAACAAAATCAAACATCATGTCACTTTTGAAAATGAATCACCACTAAGTCGAAGATACAAGGAGCCTCCTGAAGTGCAGAAAATTCCTGGTGGAGGTATTAAACGTTTACTTCCTAAAAAACGCGAAGAAACTACTACAAATGAAGTACTTCAAGAAAAATCAGATCCGGAGAGTGATCAAATTAATAGTGATTTTACAAGAATTGATAAAAAGTTAGGGTTAAATCAGAAAAGGCAAAGGGTTGAAACTTCAGCTGGCCTAATACAAAAACTTTTGAAACGTAGCCAAAATAAACAACTTATGAAAAAGAGTGGGCGTCCAATGATAAAAGAAGAACATGATACAATAGAGTGAGTTTTTGTGCATACAATTTATAATCAACATTTTAAGTAGACTAATATAAGAACTATGTTAATACCATTTATTTTTTCAGTAGAATTTAATTTAAAATGAGAACAAAGCAATAACTATGTTTTTTAAATTTACTCTATTTTAGTATATGTATATTAAGATATTTTCATATTCAATTTTTAATGCAAATCTAAATTTAAATTACTGAATTTAATAAGAAATAAATAATATTATATTGTTTTGTTTTTACAAATAATTTTTTCGTTATATAATTATTTTGCTTTTGCTTGACTTTTTGTAAAGTATTGTATTATATCTAATGTAATTTTTATCCATAGCCCAGTGCATGTTAAAAATGAAGAGGAGCAGCGCAGATCTAGCATGCCAACAGATATTTCAAAAGCACCTATTGAAAATACACTCAATAATACGTCTGACAGCACTAAAGCTGTAGAAGCGGCTGATCCTGCACTCGAAGTTCCAAAAGTTTATATCAATGAGGGTAAGTTTGGCTTTTAGAACATTACATAAAATAAATTTATTATTGCTATATTAAAAGCTTTTGTTCAACTGCTTTTAATTGGCATAGCTTCATTTTACAAATTAATTCACAATTGTGATCCTATATGTGTCATTTATAAATATACTCTTATAAGAATCATTTTTCAAAAAAGAAAGCTAAATAAATATTAAATAATCAATGGAAGATCAGGCAAATATGTTACAATTATTTTTGCTGTTTTAATATTTTTAAATTATAAGTTCATGCAACTTGCCTTAAGGCAAAATGCTACTTATAATTATTTGAAATAGAGCACACATCTACTATTTGAGAAGCATATTATTTATTGCTTAAATTTATATTTTTTTATAATAATATTTATTAATCAAAAAATTCTATAGAAAATTATACTCTATCGTTTATAAATATCAAATAATAGAGCGTAATAATCATTATGAGCTTTGATAAGACCAAATAAAAGTTCGATTTCGATCATTTATATTATCATTCTCTGCAGTATAGCTTTATTTTGTCACATCTTTAAATCATTCCATTACAGAACAAAATGTAGCATAAACTATTAGTAAAAACACTATTGAATGTATCAAAATGAAATATAATACTTCATACATTATATAGATTTGCTTTGATTGAAACATCATATAATGTGTTTTCAATTCGTTTTAATGTTTTTTTATATTCATATGCATTGATCAGTTGTCATTCGTCACATTGAGATAATCACGCATAAAAGAATATTTCTTGGATATTTTTTTTAAATTCATTTGTGCATAAAATGTAAATAATATCATCATATTTTTTATTCAATGCTGCCAGTGGTTATGCAAGGTCAGAAAATTTCTGTGTGAGAATATTTTTTGGGTTGTTATAGTTTATTTTTATTGATTAGTATGTCATTTGGCTAAACATATAATAATGCATTTTAACAATGTGCTATGATTTTTTACTGCAAATAGTATGGTAACTTTTTTTTGTCTTACATGAACTTTCAAAATTTTTTAGTATTTTATTTCTTGCGTGATTTTCTCTTACTCATCTCATATTACACAAGTTTTATCAATAAATTTTTGACGAACATTTCTTTTATTAATTTTTTTTAATTTGTTTTAGTGAATGTTTACACTGTAAATTTTTATAGTCATGATAAAATATCAATGTATTTTATTAGCAGAATTATTGCTGAATTTTCAGCTGTATTAAAAGAGCTACTTAGATAAACATTATATTTGATAATAACCAGGTTTGAGTCAATTCAAATACTTGTCTTCAGAATTTGTATTTATATTAATTCATTTTGAACATATATTTTGCAAATTTATTTTTGGCAATTAATGAATCTTTAATAAATGAAACTGTAATATATTTAATTTGTGAAAAGGGATTTAATATTCTCTAATTATTGAATGCACTATTCTATCTGTCCATTGAATCTGGTTGAATCAATTTACTAATTATAAGATTTAAGTTAACGGTGAAACTTTTTTTTTTCAAAATTTATTATGCATGTATCTTTTATATTCGTTATCTTATGTAATTTGTTGTTTCTTGTTAAATCAATATGCTGAAAATTCTTTAATATTTCTTTGTAACATATTGCATGTTTATTTTATTATGGAAGTTTTAACATGTATATGTTACATGCAATTGTTGATTAAAAAAAGTATTTTAAATAAAAAATCTAAATTTATAAGAATTTTTTTTAGAAATGATCATCTTAAGATCATTTTATTTTTCAATGTTTTGAGTAATATAATTCAGTATGAATTGTAAAAATAATGAATTATATTCTTGCATGATTTTTATATTCACATATTGTACTTTATGCTGTATTGATATTTTATTTTTCTCCCTAGATGGCGAAGAAATTAAGTTGGTGCGAATGCGAAGAGAGGAAATTATTAATTGTATCTGTGGACACCGAGAAGAAGATGGACTTATGGTTCAGTGTGAACTCTGTCTTTGTTGGCAACATGCATTATGTCATGGTATTCAAAGGGAACGAGATGTTCCGGACAAATATGTTTGTGCAATTTGTACTAATCCCCAAAAGCCAAGACAGTCTAGAAAGTGAGAAGTGTATTGATTTACTTAAAATAGTAATATAATAGTAGAACAACATTTAATGTGATTCTTTAATGTTACATTAATCATTTAAAGCAAAAATCACTCTTTCAATGTGATGTTTAAGTGTATTTCAATGTGTTCAGATAATGATCAAATATTATTTTAGATATATTCATGATCAAGAATGGTTATTAGAAGGTCGTTTACCTCACTTTATAACAGAAGACCTGAACTTAAAAACATCTGCACAGAAACAAAACATAACAAATCTACAAGAATTTACTAAGTGTGTTCATGAAACCACTGGCAATGCCTTAGAACTTATGCCAGTATTAAAATCACTAAGAGCTAAATTATCTATGGCCATGTAAGTTAATATATATTAATTTTTGATGTGATGTGTTCCATTAATCCATTGATAAAAATATAATACTGGTTTTAATTTTTAGGCAAACACATCATCCGAAATTTTATTATTGGGCTAAACCTTGGGGAAAGTATAGTGACATGAATAATGATACTATGGATGCAAATCAAGATCAAAGTCCAACAAATAATTCTCGATTCAAAGATGATAATGAAATATCACCTACACTGCAAGCTCTTCAAAGAGATTTATGTAATGCCGTTAATGAGAGTGAACTTCTTGGCGCTAGGATAGAGAATGAAATGAATTTATTAAAATCAAAGAATATGAATAAACCAGGTAACATTTTTGTTTGTAATAGAATTAACAGTTAGCATATTTGTTTATGTACTGAGAATTTTCTTGTTGTTTTTTTACACTTGTGGCATATATCTGCTAAATATTGTATATGTATTTATATAATATATGCATTTATATATATATATATATATATATATATATATATGTATATATATGTTACGGTAAATGTGCATATTTCGGTGAATGTGCACATTTACCGGCTCATTTGGCGAATGCGAGTTCAACTCGCGCATGTGCGTGAAATACTAATTCATATATTTATATTTATATTTATAATTATAGTTATAATTATATTTATAATTATATTTATATTTATATTTATATTATTTATTTTAGTCTTATGCATATTAATATCCATTATTTATTATTCACTATTAACTATTTATCAATTAACAATTTATCTATTAACTATTAACTATGAACTATTAATTATTTCATTAATAACTATTAACTATTTAACCATTAACTATTACCTATTTAACTATTCTTAATTCACTATTTACTAACAACTATTCACTATTTACTAACAATTATTCACTATTTACTATTAACTATTCAGTTATCATTATTCACTATTCACTATTTTACTATTCAACTATTTACTATTAACTATTAACTATTTAGTTATCACTATTCACTATTTACTATTAACTATTCAGTTATCATTATTCACTATTCACTATTTTACTATTGAACTATTTACTATTAACTATTCATTATTCTTTATTTACTATTAACTATTCAGTTATCAGTATTCACTATTTACTATTAACTATTTAGTTATCACTGTTCACTATTTACTATTAACTATTAAGTTATCACTATTCACTATTTACTATTAACTGTTCAGTTATCATTATTCACTATTCACTATTTTACTATTCAACTATTTACTATTAACTATTTAGTTATCACTATTCACTATTTACTATTAACTATTCAGTTATCATTATTCACTATTCACTATTTTACTGTTCAACTATTTACTATTAACTATTAACTATTCATTATTCTTTATTTACTGTTAACTATTCAGTTATCACTATCACTATTTACTATTAACTATTCTGTTATCACTATTAACTATTTACTATTTACTATTCAGTTATCACTATTCACTAGTTACTATTAACTATCCACTATTTACAATTCATCTATTTAACTATTAACTGTTAAACTATTTACTAGTTACTTAAACTATTAACTATTTACCTATAACTATTGAACTATTAACTATTCACTATTTAACTATTCACTATTCACTATTTAACTGTTCTAAATTCACTATTTACTATTTTACTAACAATTAACTATTTACTATTTAATATTAATTATTCACTATACACTATATTACTATTTTACTATTCAGCTATGTACTGTTAACTATTTAGTGCGCATGCGCCAAATACGCAAGATGTTCATGAGATCGATCCAAGTACCCACGTACACCATTATTTTAATTTGATTGTTTGAGAACTCCACATTCACCTAGTGTGTTTTGGGGAATGCGCACATTCATCGGTGAATGTGCATATTCACCAAGAGTGCACATTTACCGTAACATACATATATATATATATATATATATATATATATATATACTTAAATATGTGTGTGTGTGCATACATATAATTATAACTACTTTTAGGTACTAATGATGTAGATATGTTATCTAGCCATACGAGATTAAATCCAGCTAATAACACCATACTAACACCTACAGGTATGTTTGGAATATACAAATTTTTAGACTTTCTTTTCAGAAATGACATGAATATGTATAAAATAAAGAATATAATCTACTTTTAATTATTTTCAAAAAATGCATTTGTTTGTCTATAGCAAAATAAAAGTAAATATTCATTAAATGAATGCTATTTCTAGGTAACAATACTCTAATGAACACTGAAACCCCAAGTCGTGGTTTAAATTTGGACTCAGAATCTAAGGATGATTTTGCAGCATTAGCTAAAAGCGATGTTTTGGACTTATCAGCTATTTTAGAATCCAACCATGTAATACCTACTGATTCAGAATTAGTTTCCATTCTGGAAGGAGATATGAAAACTGAAAATGATCTCAATAGCCCTATGAGAGGCAATAAACAAGATGAAGATTGTAAAATTAATATGGATCTATTAAGTTTTATGTCAAGTGATGACACAAAGTTAATGGATTCAGGAAAATCAGCAGCAAGTATTAAATCAACCAGTTCAGGAGATCTTACTGATAGTCAGAATCTTTTAGCACCTTTATTAGCTTCACCAGGTGGAACAAAATTTGATCTAGTCAGTGATCGCGAGCTGGAGAATTTTGCTCAAACTGTAGGCCAGGAAGGTAATAGATTATTGATAATTGATAAACTAAGAACTCATCAGCTTATATATAATATGATATCTTGAGTTAATATTTTAATACTTACTGAAAACTTTATTTAAGTAAATTTACTGCCATCCTTTCCTTGATAATTCTTTTTTTAATATTTAGAATTCTTTTGATATTCATTGTATTTAAGATGAAAGTATCATGGAACACAAAAAATAGTCACAGATTTATTTGTATAAATGAATTTTTTTTTTTTTTAAATATTTATTAGTGCCATGATTTTATTTATTTAAAATAAGCTTTCAAAAAAATTTTAAAGAGCTCACATAATTATTAATTTATAATTATCTATTATAGATAACATGAAAAAAACCTAACTTTAATTAAATTTTTATATTTCAGTATTGATAACAAACACTGCTCCTGTACCAGAAGAAGCAATAGACAATGAACAATGTCGGTGGAATCTGCTTAGACATATTTCAGATTATCAAGCAGAATTAGAAAAACGAATAGATCAGTTTAATATCAAGTTAGTTATTCCTCAATAATGATTAAAAATATGATTCACCCAATATTCACCCAAACTGTTAAATTGCTTCATCAATTGCAGATTATCAGTTCTATTAGCAAGTCCAGAAGCTCCTCCACCAGATGCATTAAAACTCGATCAAGATTGCACAAGACTCATGAAAATGATGCAGAGGGATTTAAGGACTCTAGGTGATACATGTTCTGTAATATCAACAGAAAGTAGAGAGTCTGAAAACAACAAGTTAGTATAATTGATCAACTTTTTATGAAAATATTATTAGATTAATAACTAATAAGACAGTATAGGTATATAATTAATAATTCTCACAAATTTTACAGGGTATCACAAAGCCAAGAGCAAAATTTTTTAAATTGTTCTGTGGCTCCAACAGATGTGAAAAGACTGTGGTAACCAAATTAGAGTATTCTATATTATAAAGAGATTGTTTATTGTATTAATAAAATGATTCTAAGAACACAAATTATTATTTACTGTTAATTCTATTAAGTTATAACAACTAAGATTAGGATCAAGATAATATGGGCAAGAATAATTTGTAAAAGTATGAAGAAAGAAATAAGAATTTCATTCAGTTGGCATAATATAGAGATAGATAATAATGAAGTTTATTGTATAATTATATTGTTATTGCATTTTCCTATTTTTGCCGTTAACCTTTAAAGGGAAATTGAAATTTTAAGTTATTCAAAGATTGCGGCTATGTGGAATTCTCTAATATAGTCCAATAATAAACTTTTGAATATTTTCATATATTTTGAATGCTCATATTTTATGCAGTTGACCAAAGTAAAAACAGAAAGCTTGAGAACCAAAAACAATTTTATAATTATTTTTGAAGAAAAAGAATGGATAAAGCATGACACATTACTATGAAATAAATTAATTTATACTATTATATTATAATTTATATCATCATCCTCGGATATAACTCCGGAGTTACTCAACTCCAGTATAAATTCTTATTTGCCTCGGGGGTGTTTTGAGAACCATTGAAATCCGTTAAATAAAGTTATATTCACACACCAGATGGCTTCCAAATACAATTGTTCGTGCGTTAAGTTGGCTGCACTTAGCAACATAAATATTTTAAGGAAAAACTGTCATTGACTTTTCGTTGTTGATAGCCATAGACAATATATAATAAAAATATGTTTATAATTATTTTATTATCAACAAATATATTTTAATTACATAGTGTTTACAATTATTTTATCAAATCCCGTTTTTAAATCTAGTGTGGGTCAAAGACTTTTAGAAATTGTGAACAAGCATCTTAAACACAAACAGTTTTAACCGCGGTCAACAGACATTCGAGGAGCTGGATGAATAATGATTTCAGCAGAGAATTGGATGAATGAAAAGCAAACACTACGTTTGAAATATTTACTAAAATCAGAACGCCTTAAAACCTTTATTAAATGGCCATTTAGTGACGATTCTAACTGTTCAGCTGAAAAGGTTCACATATTATGATTTTGAAGTTTAAAATTGATGATCAAATTTTATCAAGAATCTTGATTTTCAGATGGCTGAAGCTGGATTTTATATGCCAGATGTAAAGCAATATGATTTAGCAGTATGCTTCGTTTGCAATAAGGAACTAGATGGATGGGAAGAATCGGATGATCCTTGGAAAGAGCACAAAAAACATTCTTCTAATTGCTGTTTATCTCGAAAGGGGTGGAAGTACTCAGAATTAACGGTAATTTATAATTATGGTCAACATAAACAGTTGATAATATATTGATTATATTGTTCAAATATTGCAGCAATGAAACTAAATATTATAACATTTGTAAATGTTATATCCTTAACTTTCTGAGTTGATTTATAAATATTAAGGTGGCCAACTATACTTTTTTGCAGTGTTTTGTACACCTTTTTTGCAAACTGTACACTTCGAATAGTCATTTATATGATTTTACACTCATTTGTATTCCTAAAACAATTTTTTGTAGAGGTGTAAAGGGAAAAAATTTGAGAAATGTTATCTCTCATGAAAATTGATAAGTTTTACTAAATAATTACTGTATATACGATGTCCAGGCACTAATGCTATTGTTGAAAGGATATTTTTCTTAGAGGGTAATTATTGAAGCAGTGAGAAGTCTACAACTTTCTGTAAAAATGTTATATGACGTTTTTTTCTGTTTAATTTAATATGCAAAATAGAAGTTGTTTGAGTGTGGCTACATTAAAAGATAAACATCTTATTATTGGAAACAAAAATCCTCTCAAAAGAAAGATATATTTTTAAAAGAAAATAAAGTGGTCTCTCTTTTTGAACAAAAAATAGTTGACCACCCCAATAATTTGTATGTACTATTTTATATGTACATATGTAGTTTATATGTACTATACATTTATAACTATTATCTATCCTTTGATCAAGCTAATTTCTATTTCTAATCATCACTTTTTAGGAATCTCAGACGGAGACCATTATCCAAACCTTACTTCAGGAATGTTTAGAAGAATTTGTAAAAAGCTTAAGTGACAAAAGATCAGAAAGTTTTGCACGTAAATTTGAAAAAAATAAAAAAACAGTGAAGAAAAGAATAGCAAATTGAATCTAAATATTAAAATGAAGAGTACATGTTTTATGGAATAATCTGAATAGTTATTGAAGAGTACTATCAGAGTGCTAAATTCCTGTTAAGTGTTTATCTTTAAAGTATTTTTAAGCTATGTACATTTACAAGTACATGTTTTATGGAATAATTCGAATAGTTATTGAAGTGTGCTATCAGAGTGTTGAATTCCCGTCAAGTATTTATCTTTAAAGTATTTTTAAGCTATTTACATCAATTTTAATTATTTTATATTAATATTAAGTTTCAAGTATTTTTGTACATGTTTGCTAATTTTTAGATCCAATACTATATATTTTTAATTTACTGTATACTTATTTCTATGTAAATAACAAAATAATAAAATCCTCGTCTTTTATTGATGGATTATAAATTTATAAGAATAAACCATATTTTATTGTATTATAATAGCAAAGTATTAGTTAAATTGAGTGCTAACACTCGGATGAAACAAGTATATTCAAATCATATAACAATGCATGTAATCATCACGAAGAATTAAAGTGGTTTTATTGTTTTTAAATAAATGCAATTTTTCCAAAATGTTATAAAATTGTGTAGTTGTAGTACGAGTTTTAATAGATAATTAATACTTCATAAAAGAACAGATACCAAAGCGTAGCGAAGAAATTTCTTTTCTGTCATATACTATAAAATAACAATAAGCATGAATATATTATATGGATTAATTATAATTAAATAACTGTGTTGTATCAGTATTTTTTAACATATATTTGAAGTTCATTGATATTTACTTTAAAGAATTCATTAATGAAGACTTTGAAATATTTATAATAATGTAGTTGTAATGACATATTTATAATCAGTGTATTTCAGTATACTTAAAGTAAAATTTAATAATTCAGAGTCGCTCAAATTTCGCGCTTTTTTGCATTCCAGAATTGACAGGTCGCCATTTGCATTTTATTTTGAACTCTCTGTCAATTTAGTTCAGTTTAGCTCAGTTTTGAATTTAATCTGCATCGTAGTTAATTATTTCTAATATCATTTTAATATTTACTCTTTAGTTGCTATTATATACATTTAATAGTGTAGTTTAAAATTATGATTTGCATGTGAATTTTCATTAGTTTACTGAACTACATAACTGTCTCAGTTTTAAAATTTAGTTTCAAAAACTGTTCCTAAATGTAATGAAATCATTTATATGACACGAGTTTGGAAATACTTACCTGGTATTGTATATTTGCTGAATACTTACATAAATGAAACATGGTTTTTGTTTTCTGAACAAATAGTTTAATAGTTCAAATTCTATAATAGAATATGATATCTTCATGGATATGGTTTAAATAACAATGAAAAAGAACTTAATTATGAGATTATGTTTAATAAATCATCTCACACATATACATCTATAATCTATTAACAAAAAATGCATGTTATCTGAAATTCCTATATATAAATGATCTAGATATTGATATAAATGATAGATTTCAAAACTGAAATGAAACCATATTTGGCAATAAGATTTATGTGATTTAGTTCTTGATCATTTGATTAAGCTCTATATAATCATTGAACATTATAGAAGTTGATGTTCTAGAGGTATTAAGTTCCAAGTCAAGATTTCAACACACCTCGATTTAAGATATCTTCATTTTCCAGCAAATGTTTCTCAAAATTTCTTTCATATAATAATTAATGATGTATTGCCAAATAATGCTTTGTATAAATGCTCTTAGTATGTCAAGCAATTTAAGAATTATTACATCTTTGAAATCAAAAAATCTGTTTTGTAAATGTAGATGAATCAGCTCAATCAAAAGTTGTTTTCTTCATGATTATATAAGGCTATGAAAAGCCTTAGTATGATAAGTATGATTAGATAAATACTATGAAAGATGAAAGTATTCTTCTATTACATTTTAAACTGATTTTGCAGTTTTTTTCTCTTGACAATATAATGAGCAATAATAAACACGTGATATATTACATATGTATGCAGCTGGTTCTTGACAATAGTTGCATGAATTGTATTCAAATTCTTTATTCACTTCGAAGGGAGCTGATATTTCTGCATCACTAAGACTACTAATATTTTTCCTTTGTGTCAAATATCTTTTAGAAAAATCATTAGGCTTCTTGGCAAGTTTTTGAATCAACCTATTATGTGCTTTTTCTGGTTCTTTGATACTCTTATAAAAATCACTGTTCAAAAATTTCTTTCTAGCGTCTGATAAGACTAATGGAAGAAGAGGGTCTCGATAAGTTATTTCATGAATTAATGGTTTCAAAGGTTCATGCTTAATATCTTCTGCAGGCGTTGCTATGTTACTGTCAGAAAATTTGATGACAAATCGATGAGGTGCTTTCAAATGCAAACCATGCATTGCAGCCACTGCTGTATCTAAGTGACTGTAATTTACAAAACCATATTTATGCCCACTCTCCGCATGTCTAATACATGATTCTATGACATCTCCATAACTCTGAAATATATTCCTCAAGCCTCTGTCAGTCAACTCTTCAGGGATATTCGATACATATAACTTAATCCGATTTTTATCTTTCAAATTGATGGAATTGTAATCCAAAATACAACCGAAATCTCCACTGGGGCCTGGCACAAAGCTATTCTCTTTTGAATAGTAATGATCGCTCATAGGGTCGAAATTGTTGCTTAAGAAATAATCATTTTCTAGTTGGATAATCTTTTCTGCTTCCTTGTTATTCATCTTGGCGTGATAGTTGTTTGTTGCAATTCCCTATAAATTAGAAATGATTTGGTTTATGTAGTGTATATTTATAATATAACTATTTATTTAATTTATTTCTTGTACAACTGCCTTTTTCAACAGAATTTACATTTTAATTCACTATTTTTTTGTTGTTTACCCCTTTGTCAGAGTAAAGATTCAGTCGATTCTTTTTATCCCACCAAGGTTAATCTAACTTTGATACTTTTTATCTCACTGTTGAATCTAACTTAAAATTAACAATACATCTTATAAAAGAATTAAATAACATACACTTAAATTATATTAATACCTCCATAAACTAAACAACAATGCTTACAACAAAAAAAACTAAAGACGAAGGGAAATACTTTTGTTATAGATTATAAGTGAAACTCCTTCAAGACGATTTTCCATGGATCTTTCTAAAAACGCGTCTTATGCGGTATAAAAGCACCAAGTTTCGAAATTCAGAAACTTACAGAAAGTGGCGTATTATGCGAGAAATTATTGTAACCATAATCGTTAAAGACATTACACTTATGTGTATTATTGTTTTCTATTTTAATGATGAATAAAAATATAAATTTATGATTGATTTACCTTATTCTTCCGTCTATTTAAACAATTAAAAATTCGGTTTCGACAAAAACTACTTTATTAAACTCAATCAAAAAGTTATCGGATCGGCGATTTTTGATTTATAATATTGGCTCCATTTGCACTTACAAATCTGATTGTTGTTATTTTTGAATATGGAAAATGATTATGGACCATAGACCTTATATTATATTTTTAATTTTGCGTGGGGTACACCCTTATAAGTTATAATACTATATATATATATATATATATATATATATATATATATATATATATATATAATAGGGTATAACTTATAAGTTATAACTTATAAGTGGACGTTTTAGAGGTTTCTGAACATTTTGGCATACCTCAGAAAAAATGGATGTGTGTATGTGTGTGTGTGTGTGTAAGTGTGGAGACAACTTTTCGTCGACGATTTTGGGCGTACGGATTATCCGATTTGAATGGTTCAAAAAACATTCGATTCCTAGTGATGAGGAGACGTGCTGATTAGTTTTTGACGAAGATAGGTCCAGCGGTCCAACAAGGATATTGATATCGTTTAAATATTAGCTTGACTTTTAGAATAGAATAGTTTATAAATAATAATTATTATTTCTATTAATTATCTTAAGATATATATTAATAAGTGCACATAATATATATGTTTCACATAGAAGTATATATATATACTATAGCATATATTTATTTTACAGTGTTATGGACTCCAGTTGGAAATATATAAACTCTAGAGAAAAATAATGGTTCAGGAAGGTAACAGAGACTTATTTCTGTACTTCGATGAGACAAGTGAGACAAGTTCTAAACTATATAATATAATATTCATATATTAATGGAAGAATGTTTTTAAACCGAGTGTGACACTTTAACTAAAGGTTACTATTACCCTGAATAGACCAAGTCTGATTTTCAAATGATACTCTTTTCAAATATAAATATAGGTAACTGTATCATTATTTATGTAAATTATAATACGAGAATGAAGAATAATAATTATTATAAATAAAGTATAAAGTATTAATAATAAAGTAATTAATTATATTATAAATAAAGTAGCATTTAAGCTTTTAAATACATTCAGACAAACTTGTGGAAGCATAATTTTTTTATATAAAATATATATATATATATATATATATATATATATATATATATATACAATACACTCAGAACATCTCAACACAAAAACAATTCTAAAAATAAAAATCAATATAAAACACAATTAACTGATCATATTAATCAGCTCAAACATAACATTGATTTTTCCAATCCCACGATCCTACATTTCGAAAATAATTTATTTAAAAGACGATTTAGCGAAGGATGCTTAATATCTTTACACAAGGATACAGCCATAAATCTAAGAACTGACAACAATTCGCTTTGCAATGACTATAAAATAACCCTAGACCATTTCAAAACACCATCATATCTGAATGAAGCATGTATTTTTATTATTTTATTATTTTACAAAAAACATATGTTTGCACTTTCGCAAAAAATTGTAAACACAATTCATTCAGTTTTTAGACGTTAGTCAAATTGTACACACTAGAATGTAAGCCAAAAAAAAAAAATTGTCAAAAAAATTAATTAGTTTAAATGTTCCAATTATTAATAGCCTGGTTTATCACAGTGTAATAGTGTAGTGTATTTTTGTATAATTAATTTCTGTAAGTACTTGTATATAAGTTATAACTTTATATTATTTTCCTCCTACATCATATAAAATCTTTTAGTTTTTCCACTGAATGACGGTCTCGATGAAGACCGAAACGTATGGATAATAAAAGTATTTCAAAACTACTTTAGTTTTTTAACTTGGTGTTACTGCCCGATTATAAATAACTGATCAAAATAATATCAACACCAAACTCACATTTTCAATTTATATATATATATTATATATATATATATATATATATATTATATATATATATATATATATATATAGATAATATAATATAATAAAAGACCAGATTGTAACTATATCTTCTTGCCTTATTAAGAAAACTTTATTCTTTAATTATTTTCTTCTGTTTAATATTTAAAATAATATAGTTAAATGAACTTAGTTTCAGACAGAAAGATCGACCCAATGTAATTTTTTATAATTATATTCTAACTTGTAGGAATGTTTGGAAATCATAATGTTTATTTATATACCTCTTTACTGCCAAAGAACAAGCAGGTGAGAATTGAAATATGTTAACAAATAAATATTTCAAGTCAATGAAATGCAAATTAAAGAATAAATATGAAATGATGTGAC